GAGCCGGAGGGAAAACGCCCGCAAGGGGGGGCGGGGGCGTGCGTCCCCCGCCGCAAGCGAAGGTGACTTGCCGGGGGCAGCCTGCGGACCAAGTGGAAGGTCAGCGGCGGAGAATGCGCGGCTCGTCCAGCTGGCGGCGGCGGCGGCGGCTCGGCAGCATGTGCGAGCGAGTGGGAGGGGAACTTCTGCCTGGAGCCGCCTGCGCCAGCCTCCGCCTCGTGCCTGCGCGCTCGGCTCCCCCGCAGAGTGAGCTCCGCACTGAAGGGTCGGTTGCCCAATTCGGGCGCCTCCCTTCTCCTCCAGGCCTCTGAGTGAGGAGACACGGGGCCTAACCTGCCAGGTAAGTGAGGAGAAGGCGCTGGAAGTCCATCTTTCCGAGCGGGCGCCAGCAACGAGAAGGAGGTGCTCTTTCAGAGAAAGTTTTATTCTAGGGGGGCCAAACAAACGAACGGATTGGGAAAGGCTCCAAAATGCAAAGAGAGCCATTTACTCTTTTTTTATTCGTGAAAATATTGTCATCCGCACTTCATACTAGGGAATCGGAATAACTGCTTACAATATGCATAAGTCCCCAAATATGGCACTGTATATAGTACAGTAACATAATGGGCTAAATGTGTAGTGGTGAGGGGACTGGATTGGCCCCTTCAGGAGTTCCTTCAGCCGTGGAAGCTCATGGTGTGACTTTGGGCCAGTCTTTCTCTCTCAGCTCAACCTACCTCACAGGGTGGTGGTTATGAGGAAAAATGGGAGCACCGTGGATGCCATCTTGAGCTGCTGAATGAAAGGCTGGATATAAATCTAGCCAGTCAGTCATAAGCACAGAGGCATCAGAATGAGCAATCCAGCATATCGTTCAAAATGACTGGACAAATAAATACTGTTTTAAACTGATGTTCAGTCTGGCAGAACTGGGACAAGCAGAGGGCACTGATTAACCCCCAAAAGCTAAGTATCTTTTTCAAGAAGCCTGCAACTCCACGTAAAGAGCACATTCACCCAATTCCTGGACTTGAGAAGCAGCTATTTACAATGCCTCTGCCATACTATTCTGATTAGGGTTTATGGTTTTTGTTCAATCTGCTACCTGTTAAGGCCCAGCCCCTGTGCAGCCTCACCTGATCTTCTCAGCACAGAGACACAGCAAAGTCCCCTCAGTGTACTGAAGGGTCTTCACTCCAAACTTCCTCATGATCTCATTTATTTGGAGCAATATGGGCAATCCACGGGCCCCATGTGATCACAAAATTTTATTTGCAGATCCCAGAACTCCCAGGATCATACTATCAACATTTCATTAAATAGCAGTAGCAGAATATCCCAGCAAATTTGGGCAGGAAAGCAAATAAGGTGGATTCATTTATTGGATATGCTGTGATGCTTAAACTGAACAAAATGTTTTAAAAAGTAGACCAAAAAAAAAAATGGTACCATCTATTTATGTAACATCATTGCATCTGTGCTCTGCCACCTGTGGTCCCAGTCAGCAAAATGATTGCAGGTTCCACCTCATAATACTTAAAAACACAGAGAATACAATAAGACCTTTCAGGAACCCACAGCATAAATAGCATGGAACCAACACAGACTTCATTCCCACTGCTACCCATTGCCACATACCAGTATTCAGCTGTAGAACAGAGTAGAATGCCAAAGTGAAGTTTCTGTTGATATTCAGTGAGCTTCATCTCACACATGCAGGCACAGAAGTGTTAATGATGTTCTCAAATGTCCGTGTACTGTATGTACTGTAGACAATTGTGTGTGTGTGTGTACACGCAAATTGCCCTTTTTCCCTTCTCTAGTTTTCTCACCAGATGCTATTAAGTTGGTACATTGGGCTTGGCTGTTGACCTACACTCTTGCTTGGTAATGTGGGCTGTATGGTGAACATCTGGAGTAATTATCTTTAATTTACTTAATTGGAAAGAAATTTATTGCACCAGGTTTCAGATTACTTTAAAGTTGTTCTGAGACACAGATATTGTAGGGGCTTGTAGGGGTGTAAAAAAGGTAGAGACTTTGTCAAACAGAGCTTGACTCTGCTCCTGGTGACTTCTTGGACACCTCCATGCAGTTCCCTTAGCAACAGTATGGAAATGGTTTATTACTGCTTTTTTCCAGCCAATGTTTTTTTATTTCACAGCATGTCTTACAGCCCTGGGATTAGTTGGTGGTTTTCCATCCAAATATTAACTGGACTTGACCTTGCTTAGCTTACAAGCCTAGATATGGTTGGCCAGATGCTGAGATTGTTGAGGTATAAAGGTAAGTTCTTCAAGTTGAATTTAACTCTTAATAATTTCATGGACATATCTGTGTGATTTTTTTAGCAACAGTATGGCAGTTGCCCTTGCCTTCTTCTAGGATATTTTTTCAGTTTCCCAATCTAGCTTATAATTATGAGATTTCCTGGTGCTCTTCCATCTACAAACTAGCCAAGTTCAAACCACCTTAGCTTTTCAAGATCAGCCAAGGTCAGCTAGGTACAAGAGTTCTTTTCCCTGTTTCTCCCTCATTGTGCCCACAACTCCTTCCTCATCCTGCTGTCTACTCACCATTTTGTAGCTATTCAACTGGCATATCTTTTCCAGTGAAAACAGAACTCCAGCAAAGTGTTTCACCAATTGACTAGAATATCTACTATGCAAGCAACACATTTTAGATTCTACTGGCATAATAAGTTTTCATCATACCCAGTGGCTCCTCAGCCAGCATGCCTTAAAGATAAAATTGCTGTGTTACATGAGACAGGTATATTTCTTAGTACAAAAGCAGCAACCTTAATTATTAGTATTTGCTATGTGGGAACTGCATTGTGAATACCACAAGTCTAAATGCTGCATTAGCATTAAATCCTATTAGTCTGGCAGAAAGCATAAGGTAGTCCTGTTTAAATCATTTCCCAATTTTCCAAGTCACTGAAGCAGTGGAGTTATTGTGTGGTGTGAAGATTAAATTGCCTGCTATATTTCTATTTGTGATAACGAAGAGACTGAATTGGTTGTATGTTTTTTGCAAACTTCCTATTACATTGTTTCATCTTTTCTTCCAATCACTTCGAGTTATTAAAATGTCTAATGTTTCTAGTACTGTTGTTGTTTTAATTACCACAACTTATGACCTGAAATATTTTTGTCCTAAACACATTTATCTGGAAGTGAGAGGAACTTCATTGACCACGACCACTTCTGAGGTTCATTTTTATGTACCAAAGATTTTCTTACCTGAACATCTTGATATACATAAGTTTTCCATGAAGATGAAATGCTCTTAATTCAAATTTGCTTGCAGACTTTTTCATATGTACTTTTGGATTTGAATTGGCTAACCATAATGTAGTAATAAATTCAGCTTTACCAGTTAAACATCTTTAGAGCATAACCAGAGACCAGATGTAGTACTAGAACAATTGCTTGCTATTACTCATGTAAATCAGCTGAGGTGAAGACTAGAGACAAGATTAGTACTTTCTATTCAGTAACAACATCAAAAACTATGGAGGAAGATCATTCCCCTTTCAAACTGTTCATGTCTGAATACTATAAAATGTACTGTATGATGTGGTTAATTTGTTATTTTTGCCAGAAAGGACCTTGATCAAAGAAAAGTGAAGAAGTTAATATATTAACTTCCAGTAAGGTATATAGAACACAACCATGCTGATTTGCTTAGCCCTCCATCCCAAAATTTAAATAAACCCATAGTAATGATCCTGCTTTAAAAAAATTAATGTTCATTCTGAGCTTACATTCACAAAGGAAAATATTTATTGTGGTCAGATGGTCACCTTACTCTTGTTTGGTGTAATGTGATGTCTTCATTGTTTAATCAGCAGATTTGTTTACCCAAAGCATCACTAATTCCTTGGAACTATGTATTGAAAATGGCTTCCTTTAAAATGCCAGTGACATCTCTTCTTATATATTACATATAGTATTTTGTTGTTTGCAACACTGATGTCTGGAAGTCTCTCTCTCACACTCTCACACACTTAAGTGCACACACACCACACAGAGCTGTTGGGATTTATATCCTCACAGGCCATCTGTCTGAGGGCCAGAAGTAAGTATCATAGACCAAAGAAAACAGAAGGGCCCAAATGTTAAGTGACAAGGCCTGGGGGGGAGCGGGGGGAAGCAATCTCCAAGGAAGCACCATTTGTCCCACAGGCCAAAGACAGATGACTCTGTGGAAAAATGTAGATTGGCAGGCTAACCATTTCTGAAAGGCAGCAGTACATTATAGCAGCTACTCAAGGGCCTATGTGACAAATCACTCCGAACAAGCAACAGAACTGAGAACAATTACAGAAACAACCAAAGAGCACTTACTAGTCCAGATCACTGACTCAGCTGAGCTAATAATTTGGGTCTTTGGAGTAGCAAAGATCAATAGAGCTCTTTCTTGAGCCTAGTGGCATCTGCAAGATGGTAAGTATATTATGATCGAATCCACCCCACTCCTTGGTTTATGCATGCAGTGCTGGACATATTCAAAGTCTTTGAATCATGATGCTGGGCCCCCACTACCTTGCAGGTTTTTCGTATACCCACTCCCCTCCAGAAACACCCATGCTTCTGCCTGCAAATTTCCCTATTGGTCTAGTAACAAAGCATTTTGATAACCTTGTGACTCAATTCGTCAACCTGGATGTCAAGCCCACATAGCAGGCAAACTTAAGAAGCAAGAAGCATGTGGATTTCAGAAAGGGATCTTAAATGCTAGTCAGGAGTAAAAACATGACAATTGTAAATAGGTTCCCAGGCAGACTTAGAGCAAGCCAATTAAGGCTTTGAAATGTTTTCTTCCCACAGCCCTTCCTGAGCTAGACTGCTGCTTCTGACATCCACTGAAGTCCTCCAGCTGATTCCCAGTCTCTCACACCACATTCCTCCAGATGCAGTCCAGAAGAAGGGATCTGGCAACAATGACCCACACCCTTGTCATCTTCTGGTCAGATCACTACATGACGATGATGTGCCATCAAGCTTGTGTTGATGCTTCGCAATCACACAGACATATTTTCTTCAGAATGGTATGTCCCCAGCCTGGTCCTTCAGCTCTTCCAACACTGCTGCATTGAGTCCAGCCACTTTGCTGTTGGCCATTTTTAGTCCAAAATGCAACACCCCCTTCTTGGTGGGTGAGAACTACTATTTCCATGCACCACTGGTGCTAGAGGCTCTGCACTGACTATCAGTAGACTTCCAGGTACGATTTAAAGCCCTGCATGACTTGGCTCTGTTGTACCTGTAGGATCATCTACTTCAAGTAGATCATACTTGTACAGTGCACACATCTCAGGTTGAGATGCTAAAGATTCTTCCTGTATACAAAATTGAAGGAAGGAACATTTTATTTCCTTGCCAGCCGATGGAACAGCTTCTCACCTCAGATCCAGACAGTTCCATCCCTCCTGGCCTATATAAAAGACTTAAAAAGTGAACTGTTCAAAACAGCAATTCTTTAAGATCTGTCATCAGTACACCTATTGTTACTATTATATCTGGTTATATCAATTTATGAAAGGTTTTGACAGTTTTAAGGATTATAATTTCAGTGTCATCTTGTTTTCAGGCTATGATCAATTGGATGTTACACTGTATACTGCTATGGAACCATGTGGAGTGCAGAGGTGTATAAATAAAGTAGATAAATAAATAAAAACTCGCAGAACTCCAATAATTAGCCATGCAGGCTTGGAGTTCTGAGAGTTGCAGTCAGAGTGCACCTGAAGGACTCCAGAATGGAGAAAGCTCATTTTAAAAAAATTAATCACAGGTCAGCAAGAACTTGAGTACTCTAGAAAATCATATTGAAATTAATAATTTGCTTTATTTTAAAAAATCACTATGAAAACATACAGTTCACCATCACACATGTGGAGAATGTAAAATAATCCAGGCAAGAGGCATATTTTAAAGGAGAAATTATATGCAACATTGTTGAGCAAAATCAATAGAAACCAGCAGCAGGTATTTTGGAGATAAACCATGGGAGAAAGCCTGCTTAAAGTAAATATTGAGGTGTTTTCTCTCTGTATTCATCACTGGCTCACCCTAACTGCACAAAACATTTATTTATTTATTTATTTATTTATTTATTTATTTATTTAAATTTATTGGCCGGCCAACTCCAATGGACTCTAGGCAGCGCACAAAACTAAACATGACATAAAAAACAGCTAAAGATATAAAATCAACAGCCAACCCAGACTAAAACGCTCTAATAACGAAATCCACAAAATAAAACAGGGGCCATTAAACAAATAACGAACATCAACCCCAGGCCAGAGACCAAAGCCAGGTTTTCAAAGCTTTCCAGAACCTAGGAGAGAGGGTGCTGTCCTTAACTCTGGGGGAGATGCTGTTCCAGAGGGTTGGAGCCGCAACAGAGAAGGCCCGTTTCCTAGGTTCCACAAGATGGCAACATTTAATGGAGGGGACCTAGAGTGCACCACTCTGCTGGAGCATACTGGATGGGCAGAAGAATTTGTCAGTAGAATATAGTCTCCTTGAAAAATACCAATCAGGTACAGGTAGTCCCCAGTTTAAGAATGAGCTCCGTTCCCAAGGTCTGTCCTTAAGTTGAATTTGTATGTAAACCAGAACAGTATTAC